AAGATCAAAACGTGTTTCTTTATACCTCCATAAGATTCGAACACAGGACGACTATCCATAGTCATTCAAGGGGTTTGTTTATTACTAGACTAAGGGGTATCAGCACATACATTGGATGAAAACAAATTAATTTTCATAGTGTATCTATTAGACTAAATTTCCTGGCTTATGCCCATAAATAATTGATTGGACACATTATACAAATAATTTACGTGCAAAACATTTAAAAAAAAAAGAGTTTTTTATTTTTTTTTTTCACTTTGAAATATGGTGTATGTTTTGACTTTATATATACAAATATGATTTCCTTAATATTATATTAATAACAATTAGTTATGATTTTTTAAATACAAAAATGATACTTAAAATGAAAATTTATAAAAATAAAAAGCGAAATGTGTTTCTTTTGTACCTTCACAAGATTCGAACACAAGATGACTATCCATCATAACTCAACGGGTTTGTTTATTAGACCATTGGAAAATATTTTATTTTAGAAAAAAAAATAGTTATTAAAGATTAGTTATACATCTAAAAGTATATCTTTGTTCCCTTCAAAGAAATAAAAAAAATTATGTTTTGTTAACAACAAGGTGTTCTCCATCTTTGTACTTCAACTTAGGATAATATACAAGCCTCCCACCATGCCAGATTGTACACCTTATGGAATTTGAACATGCCATTTTGATCTTTAAAATGCATGTACTAAAAAATGGATCTAAGAAAGAGAAAAAAAATGTGTAAAAGGGAAAAAAGGGCAAAGTGGATTGGGAGGTGATGGCGGTTGGAAGTCTGGTCCACATATTCCACAACACATACCATTAGTTTTATTAATTCATTTCAAACTATAGTGTGTACTAGCATTTTAAACATGTTATACGTAGATCTCATAGTGACACGTTTATCAAACAAGATTTTATTAAAAGAAGAATGATTCTTTAAAATAAAAAATGTTTTTAGGGGACAAAAAAAAAGATGATTTTATCATGGTCACAAGGTTCGAACACTGAATGCATTTGAATAATACAACATTTTGATAATATCAACACCATAGGACTAGGGGGGTATCAGCACATTCACTGGATTACATATTAATATGTATTATTAGTTGAATAGGTTCTCTTTTTATGTTTATCAAAGTAGTGAAAATTTTAACTTATTAACATACTTTTTGTTTTAAATAAAATAGTTTTTTTTTTAAATACTAATAAAATAGTTATTAAATATAAATAATTTATATCTAAACATATAACCTTGTCTCCTTCACTAACATCAAATAATTAAAAACTAAATAAAAGATATACATATAACATTGTTTCATTCACTAACTTTTATGTTATTCTGATATTTTTAAAATTAGATATGATTCTGTAAAGTTTAAAATAATTAAAAACCAGAAAAAAAAATACAATTTATGCCGTCACAGTGTTCGAACAGTGGTTTGATGTATGCACATGCAGCTTTCAGAGTTAACCATTGGATTAAGGGGTATCAGCACGTTCATTATGTGGGAAAAAAACTATATATTACAATGTTTGTATGAGCGTCCCAACAAATCGTTTTCTTGGAGTCGATTCAAATTCCGGATCGTTTGTTTTGGGTGAATTGTAAAACATAATCTTTAACCAATTTTACAGCTAATAATTCTAAATTTGTTTTTGTTTTTCATGCCTTCACCATACTTTCATTCAAATTAGTTTATTCTTCAAATATATAATCACTACAATTCATTTTATAATTGTAAGTCACACCACGACGGGCCGGAATATATATGAACATTACAAAAAATTCACCGACGCCGATAGGTTGTTCACCGGCAACACATTCACCCACGGCGTTCGCATTTTAACCAACACCTTATCGCACCGCCATCAATCTGTTTCACGCTGAAATTCAGAAAATCAGATTTGTATATTGTTCTTCATTTGTTATTTACACAGATACATTAGAAGGGAAACATTAGGGGAGAGAAATTAGAAAAAACGACATATGCATCCCATAAGAATCCTAAAAATTGAAATGTTAAGTTAAATCAAATATTTTATTTACATTTTATTCATTGTTCTTCATTTGTTATTTACACAGATACATTAGAGGGGAAACATTAGGAGAGAGAAATAAAATGAGGTCAAAAAATATGAATTTTTTTTTGGATTATATACTACATTAATTTGGGTAGGTGAAAGGATAGATAAATTTGAAATTCAAAAGTTGAAATTTAAAAAACAAGTTTGAAATTCAAATGAAAATGAAGGTGACCCACAAAAAAGGAATATTCTCAATCAACCAATAGGAAACTTGTGTACAAGATTCCTTTTGTACACTAAGTGTACCTTAAATTGCTCCCATAAATTTATATGCAAAAAATAAAACAATTATTATAGAGTAGTTAGGAATTTTTTGTAAAAACACTACTCGTACCCCGTATACTCTTATTCTTACTCATTTAATTGTAGATAAGATGGGTGATTTGGGAATATGAAATTTATCACTTAAAATGCTCTTCACTTTATATATTGGATATGACATAGGATATATTAAATGGTCTCACTCAAAATTTTCTTAAATTACAATGTCTCAAATATTATAGGACGCAGGAAGTAACATAATTAAATTGTACTCTTTCGTATTTTTATTCAATGTTTTTGTTTAAAATATCAAAAGTGTTCACGATTTAATGAAATCTTATAAGAAATACTACGGAGTACTATTTACATTACATACTTCATACTTGTATTACATATTACTCCATATAAAAACTTTTAAATGTTACACTGTATATATTACATAAAGTGTAACGGATAAAAGGAATAATAATGTTGAGATTATGCGCGTCATGTCAAGAATATAAGCGTTAGGTGTACAGTTTCCGAATAAATTTCTAACATATATTCCCTTTTTTTTTTCCTCCTTGCAAATGAATTTCTAGTTTTCTACCATTGCAAATTGCAATGAGCCAATGGCCAATAATGCATACGATTTAAATTCAAGTGGTTCACAGTTAACACTCTGAAGTCTGAAGATCACTAAATATTAATTGTACTCCTAGAGTCCCACTATAGATAAATCCTTCAAAACATGAGTAATTGTAGGGAAAAAAACAAACCATGAAATTAAATTTGGAAATTGAAAAAGAATTAAATTCAATGACTATTTAAAATTCACATTGTTTAGGCTTTGTTCTATTTAGTTTATGTTTGCTAAGGTTGGTTTATCGGATTTTGTTTGATCATTTGATTGAACTTTATGTTATACGGAGTACAAATTATGAGCGTATTTTACTTTATTTAATTTCAGACTATATTAGATTTTCTTAGCTATTGTTGCTTATTGCCACATGTCTTTAACTTCATATGTAAAAGTTATGAAAATTAAATACGAGTATTTGAAATATACACATGAGATGTACACAGTTGAACACACACAATAGGACTTTCGATACATAGGCTCACCAAATCACCAAGCTTCAAAGACATATGAGGGACCCGTCCCACACATAACGCATGTATTGTCCCAGCCGAATCGTTAGCTATGATACCACTTGTTAGGGCTGCCGCACACGTTCACTCACCCACTAGTATGACATTGTCCGCTTTGGATCGCTCAAGCCCGCATGGATTTGTTTTTGGGCACAACCCAAAAGACCTCATACTAATGTACTGAACATCTCATTAATAAGGAACTCTCCCTCTCCTTATTTATTCCATATGGAACTTGAGATGCATACTCCCGACAGATCAGATCAGGTCGGACTTTAGAAAATTCAACTTTGCCTTTAGGTAGTCACCCAACTTTTATTTCTTTAATCCCAACCTTCTTCAAGCAACCTTTTAGATGGTAAAGGCAAGCATTAATGTTCCATAGTCAAAATCTTGACATAAATTGATGATTTTTTTTTTCTTCTTGTTTGTCATTATTGCAATCCACCAAGTCAAGCTTTTAGTTATTTATAAATGATTATAACTATGAATTTCCAATGATAGGAACTCTTTTATTCTTCAATATTAATTTTCCTAGTAAAAAAAAAGGTTTTCAATTTGACTTTGTTAGTTCTTTGAAAACTTTATTTAATTTATTGTTATGAGTAATAGTAGTAAATTAATGATACATCATACATTCCTTTAATATATATATATATATATATATATATTATATATATATATGCAGCCTAAAAAACAAAAAAATTGTTAAGCAATGATTTGTATTTTACCTCTATGTACCCAATTAAATTCATAATTATTTCAAAACTAATACTCTTTATTTTTTTTTAAAAAAAATTAAAGTGATTCACTTTGACTTTTGCATTTTTCATACTTTATAGTCATTATTTGACCAATATTTATGATTCATACACAAGATTAAACAAAGTCATATACATTGGTACCTTTTAGAATTGTCTCATTATATAGGTTTTGGATATCAACTACTTGTTATTTATATTTATTTGTATTGCTAATTACAGATATTATTTGTCAAAAATAAAAGATACGAGTATTATTTGTCAAAATTTTGTGTTTGCAAATATGGAGATTTTTTTTTTAAATAATAGGAAAATGATATATTATAAGGAGCTAAAAATGGGAAAAAAACCAAATAAAAATTAATTCAGCATAACAGTAACCAAAAATAAAAACACTAAAACAAAGCCCCTTCACTTCACCTTATTTTTGTTGAACTGAAATTATTTTTGCTGAATTTAAATTATTTTATTGAACTAAAACTAATTTTTATTGAACTGAAATTATTTTTGCTTAATTGAAATTATTTTTACCAATTTCCTGTTATAATTCTTTAAATATACCGATTTTTATTAAATTGAAATTATTTTTATTAAAATGAAATTATTTTACCAAATATTATGGAGTATCTAGAGTTACAAACATTTAAACACCAAAATACATCAAAAACTCAACAAGAAAATGTTTTACAATGATATAGGAACTTGACTTACTAATCTCCCGGCAAGATTATGCATCCAAGTACTTCCATGGGTTCCCAAAGCCCCTTAGGAGTCATGAATAATGCTTTGAACACCATTTTTTTTAATTACGAAAAATTCTGGAAACATTAGATGCTGGTGCAATATACAATATACGGAGTAGTACGGAATACGAGATGTAATTAATCTAAACCACGTTGTCAAACAACACAAAATGCACCAAATCAACATTTCCAAGAATATTACCAAAAAATTGCCAATAATAAAAAACATAATAATAGAAATATCTGCATTAATTAAAGTATAATTCTCCGTACTTCGTATTTCTTTACTTGCTTTTTTTTTTTTTTTTTTTTTTTTTTTTTTTTTTAAAGGCAATTACTTGCTTGTTCTGCTCTGCTCTAAACCAGCTAAACCTCTGTCAAAGAAACTTTCCCCTGTTTTCCTTACTCTGAAGCCACCTTCCCATTCTCACTCTTCTCTTTCTTCCCCTCCAAATATTCAATGCACATTCATCTTTCTTTCAAACAAAAACCTCTTTTCTCTCTCTTTTGAATTTTAAAAGTACAAAAAGATGCTAAAAAACCAAGCTTTTTGAAGCTTCATCAATGGCGGAAACCAGTAAGAAAAACCCAGAAGAAATTGCAATTCCTATTTCACCTCTAACAAATGAGCAATCTCCCAAAAAGGGTTTTCAAAACAATGAAAATGAAGCAAAACCCACAAATCATTCCCCTCAATCTCAAGAAATTTCCAATTTTAGCCCTAGCCCTAGAAAACCCCCATTATACCCAACCCCAGAATCACCCTTAAGAAGAAGAATTACATTTAAGGAGAAAACCAGATTTGGGGAACCTTCAGTTCCTCTTGACTCACAAACCCTTGAAATTTTGGGGGGTTCTCCTCGATTTTCGAACCAACAATCTTTCTCAGAGAAGACTCCTAAAGCTTCAGAAGCTTCTGGAAGGAAGGAGAAGGAGAAACAGAAGGATGTGGGCCCAGATGAGAGGGAAATTTACAAGAGGGTAACTGCTCAGCTAAGTGCTAAAAAGAGTTGGAGGATGACTATAAAATTGGTACTTGAAATGATTGTTTTCTTGTTGATCTTGGGTTGTTTGATTTGTAGTTTAATTGTTGATAAATTTAAGGGTAAATTATTTTGTGGGTTAGAAGTTTGGAAATGGTTTGCACTTTTAATGGCTATATTTTCTGGTATGTTGGTAACTGGATGGTTTGTGCATTGCATTGTGTTTTTGATTGAATGGAAGTTTTTATTGAAGAAGAATGTGGTGTATTTTACTCATGGGTTACAGGATACTGTTGTGGTTGTTATTTGGATTGCTGTGGTTCTTGTTACTTGGGTTGTGTTGTTTAAGCATGATTCCGATTCTGCCCCAAAATTGACCGCGAAAACAAAGAGAAAACTCGATTTCATTACTTGGACTTTAGCTTCATTGCTAATTGGGTCGGTTTTGTGGTTGGTTAAGACTACATTGATAAAGATATTAGCATCATCTTTTCATTTGAATAGGTTTTTTGATAGGATTCAGGAGGCTGTGTTTCATCATTATGTGCTACAAACTCTCTCAGGGCGTCCTGTGGTTGAGTTGGCTAGTAATTTTAGTAGGTCGGATAGTCGTGGTACTCAGGTGAGCTTTAGGGCGCATACGGGTAATCATATGGAGAATAAGGTAGTTGATTGGGAGAAGATTCATCAAATGAAGAGGGAGAAAGTGCCTTCTTGGACTATGAAGTTGTTGGTTGATGTGATATCCAATTCAGGGTTATCGACGATGTCTGGTATTTTCAAACAAGATGTGGTTGAAGGAGGGGTTGAATTGGATGATGATGAAATTACGTGCGAGGAGGAGGCTATAGCAACTGCTGTTAGGATATTCTACAATGTGATTGGTGACAAGACTGACAACAATGATTTGTAAGATGATTTGTGATTATTTCAAGTTTAGTTGTGAATAGTCATGTCTTGTGAACTTGCCTAAGAAACACTATGGTCTTCTCTGTTAACATGTTTTACGTTTGTCTTTTCAGCTACATTGATAGAGGTGACCTCCACAGGTTCATGATTTGGGAAGAGGTGGATGTCGTTTATCCATTATTTGAAGTTAATGAAAAAAAACAGATTGATATGAAGGCTTTTTCTAAGTGGGTGGTAAGGAAGCTATCTTGTTTCTTGATGATATATGTTAATATTCCTTGATTCTGTCTTGAAGGTATCTTCATAATGGGAATTATGTACTGCATACAGTTGATGTACTTCGCAATTTATTTATTGTATCCTGCTTACTTTGTGTGATGTTTAATTTGTTGCTATTTAAGGCTAAAAAATGTAGCTTACGTCAATTTGTAAATAATTTTGGTTCTTAAATCAGACTCAGGTACTTGTCTTAGACATGGTTATGTGTTTGATGTCACTCGGCTGATTATTGAAGACATTGGTCCATATGAAGCGCCAAGTGTATAAGCTGTTTTATTTTGTGCTTTCAGTGTCTAAATTGCCAGATTTTAGGAGTTACACTGTGACTATATTTATGGAACTTGTGCAAAATCACCAATCTTCAACTTTGCCTCTAAAACATTATGGACTTTATTAGATATTTACTGCACCAAATGTAATTGAAAGAAGCTTCTGTCTGTGCTTAAATGGAAAGAGTTGCATGATAATTAGTCTGGACTCAACTATATTGTATTTCACTTGTATATTCTTATCTCATGGTGTGTTAAATTTCATGAATTAAATGTTTTAGACTGAAATTTAGCTGGGAGCCCCCTCCCTCTTTTTCTAAAATCTGTTTTTATCTTTCTACATTTGCAGGTAAATGTCTTCAAAGATCGACAGGCACTCAAACATGCTTTGAATGACAACAAGACTGCTGTGGATGAGTTCAATAAGCTACTAAATGGACTTCTGATTATTATAATCACTGTACTCTGGCTTCTCCTGACAGAGGTCCTTACGACAAAGATACTTCTCTTCTTCTCTTCCCAGCTTCTCGTAGCAGTTTTTGTGTTCGGGAACACTTGCAAGACTGTTTTTGAGGCACTTATATTTGTTTTTGTTATGCATCCATTTGATGTTGGGGATCGCTGTGTCATTGATGGAACACTGGTAATACTTCCTGCTGTAATACTTCGTTTGAAAATAATCAATAACTATTTTTAAATTTTTTTTTTTACATTATATAATAATTCATTTCCTTTCATGTTGTAACAGATGATTGTTGAAGAGATGAATATCTTAACAACGGTATTCTTGAAATTGGACAGGGAAAAGGTATATTATCCAAATGCACTTTTATCTACTAAATCCATTGGCAACTATTACAGGAGTCCAGATCAGGGAGATACTTTGGAGTTTGCAATCGATTATAGAACACCACTGCCAAAGATTGCAGAACTGAAAGAAAGAATTAAGCAGTAAGTTAACTTATGTCTAACCACCTCAGAATTTCTTGGAGAATATAGCATTTGTTTGGATGGTTCAGCTGACTTCTTAATATGGCAAAATTATGGTTTTGATTGTTGTTCTCATAGAATTTGTTGTTATCTACTACTATTACGTATCATATACAAATATCTCTTAATTGTTTACCAATGATCGATTGATGGTACTCATGGTAGTAGTCGAATAGAGTTTTGTTATAAATATAGAATGATCAAAACTAAAAATCTACATGAATCAGTGAATTTTGTTGGTGAACTAAAAGAGCATGTAAAATATTCAAAGTGGACTGTTTAAAATAGATTGGTCAGCTGCGTGAAGCATACTGTTTTGCATGAATCGTATGCTAAATGAGGTGCTGGAATGCTGGTGAATTGGTAGTTTGTACTTCATAGTATATAACATGTGAATTAGATAACTTTCCAAATATAGCAAAGGAAAAGGAACAAGTGCTGACTGTGCTGAACTAGTCCTGTCTTTTTTCTTTGCTCTTTTTTTTAGTGTAGAGCTGTATTTCTGCTAGCCCCTTATTGATCTTGAAAAAAAGAAAAAGAAAATGTGTATTGTATTATCTATGATGGTTGAGGGCCAAGGGCCAACCTTTTCCATCGACTTTAATATTTGATGCACAGCCATAGGAGATAGCTTAATGACTAGTAACTTTTAACTATGGGCACTTAAACAAGTAAGATTACTACAAGAACCATTGGTAAAGGCTAGAAGTTTTGTATTTTGTAATATATTTTGCTTCCTGTTAAGATTGAAATAAGTTTTTGCTTATTCAATTAATTAAACATTTACTAAATTGCCCAAACTTTGCTCCTCTTGCAGGTATGTGGAGAAAACTTCGCACTATTGGCACCCTGAACACAGTATGGTTGTTAAAGAGATCGAGAATATAAATAAGATAAAGATGGCTGTCTATGTGACTCATACAATGAACTTTCAAGACATTGTTGAGAAGAGCAAACGAAGAACTGAATTTTTCTTGGAAATGAAGAGCATATTTGACGACCTTGAAATATCTTACCAATTATTGCCTCAAGAGATTCATCTTACTAAAGCAGTCCAAAATATCTAATTTGGTAGGTGAAGACTCAAGGAGTTCATTTGGCCGTCTGTACTGCAAGTAAGTGTTATCTTTCCAGGATTCGCGTAGTTTTTTTTGTACATAAATCTCCATTTGGTACATATTGTTTGGTAGTCATATTTCATTCTGATGGGTGATATTTAACCTAGAAATACTGATAACGAGTTCATTTTCACTTGTTTGGTAGGCTGTTATGAATGGCGATAATAGTAACGGGTTTAATTATACACAATAATTATGCTTAGAAGGTTCATGATAATGTTTACTTGCTTCATAAATTTGCATAACTAGCTCCAGGCTCTAGAGATATAAATTGGTAATGAAAATTAATATCGAACTAATGTAGAAGAGATAAATTTGCGCTGTCATGGACTTTGGTGTGATAATTTCTTGCAAACATACATACCAATCCATTCCCATCATCATCATTTATAATCGCCTAACGAATAGGCCGCTAGTAGTTTAGAACATGCTAACTTAATTGGTTTCATGTCAGGACCATGGTTCATGGGTGTTCAATATCACAACAGAAGCTTCTGTGTTCGTTCGAGAAAGCTGCTGTCAAGTGACCCTGGTGCATTATCAACACATTGTTTAGTGTTTATGCCCTTATGGGTGTCTAATTATCAAAATTGCAACTTTGCAGCTAAAAAAAATTGGAGGTAGTATAATTCTTATTGCTCTGCTCTCCCTCGGCTTTCCCTTTTCGATTATGTGATGGGGTTGTGCATGTGGATTTACGAATAAACTCGATGCTAATCTAGGAAATCAGATGTAAATTGTTTCTCCTGCTCTAAGTTTCATCATTTAATAATGTGATTCAATTTGTAAAACTGCTTTGTGATGTTACCTTAAAAGGCAAAAGTACACTTATTATATACTTTTGCACCACGTTAATAGACAAATGTAATGTAACTCTTTATTCAGAGTGAAGACTTGATCTTAAAAAAGAGGGCAAGGATCTAGCAAGGCTCTTTATGATAATATATAAATGATAATCCATGATCTTTGGGTTCCTTACTTCTTTTGATAAACTTTGCAATTTTCAGCTTTGTTTGAGCACACGTCATATATAAACAAAGATACTGTGTGTATGCGCACTTACTATACTATAAATAACATCTGTACACTCCTTTCTCATTGGTTAGAAGAAAATCTTATCATAAATTATTGTAAAAATTAAAATTGTCAATGTTGTTTTTTTTTTTTTTCTTTTTTTTTTTTGGTAATTAGAATTACGGGCAATGACTCAAAATGGGTAGAAGAATTAGGAGAGAGAAACGACTCAAAGGAGGGTTTTAAATCCTAATTTTCTTAGTTTGTTACTGTATTACGTCTAATTTATTGCATTTTTGAATGTCTTAGAACTTTAGAAGTGTATGGGGATATCATTTTTCAAGGCTGCATGAAGAATAATATTATGAATCTTGGTTTGAAGAGATTGTGTAATGAAGCTAAGTATAATAAAAACATTTGAGTATCAAAGATATAGATTGGGTATATGATTAACTCAAGAAAAACAATATAAGAAGAATAGAACCAATGCAACAACACTCGTAGGTAGATAAGCCAGATAATGGAATTTAAAGGAAAAAATCCAAAGAATAAAAGATTGGTAAAATCTACGGAGTAACATTTTCAGTTAAGTTCAGTTCTAATCAGTTCAGTTCACTTCTGTTCAGTTCAGCACCTAATTTTCTTCTCTTATAAAATATTCATTTCAGTTCAGTTCAGTTCAATTCAGCTCTAATCAGTTCAGTTAAGTTCAGTTCAGCTTAGCTCAATTAAGTCAATGATAACAAGCCCTAAGAGGGAAAATCACTATAACTTCTCTTGTAAATCTAATTAACTTGTAAATCAAGGATTCAAGGTTATTTTTTTTTTCAAAAATCATCTTTAAAATCTTTATTTTTGTGAAAAAACCGGTTTATTTTTAAAAAACTGTTGTAATTAACCACCCAAGTATTATTTATTTATTTATTATTTTATTTTTAATTTTTAATTTTATTTTATTTTATTTTTTTATTTTTTTTGTATTTCACCACCAACAACAGAAAAAATGACGATTGAATTGTTAGTAGTCAAAAATCATTTTCTTACAAAATATGATGGATTACAATTTAAATTAGATGGCTATTCACAACAATTTTTAAAAGGTGTAATTTTTTTTTTTCACAAAATATAAGGATTTTAAAGGTGAAATTTCCATAAAGCAATTAAAATTGTCTAATACTCCATACTCCCTCTGTGTTTTTTTTAAGTGTTTCACTTTTCATTTCCGGCCGTGTTTTTTTAAGTGTTACACTTCCTTTTTTTTGGCAAAAAGCTACATTAAAAAAATTATATCTCTCTCCTCTCATGGTCCCACCCAAACCCACTACTACTACTTTTTTATCATATATTTCCTCTCACATTTATTATTTTTCAATAAACTATTAACCCCACTATTCTTTCTTTTATAATTTTTTAATATTCAAACTATCCCACCTTTCTCTTATTTTATTTAAGTTAATTAAATTGCCTACAACTATATGCCGGTCAAACTGTAACACTTAAAAAAACAGGAGTACAAAATTGTGTGCACAACTCCACATATTATGAAATTGGCCATTATAAAAGGATTGGGTAGCCCAAAAGTTGTGGGCTTTGTGAATTGTGAGTTGTGGGCTGGTGGCACACGACATGAATTGATCAGATGCTCAAATAGACAAATACTCCCAATTTGTTCTTAGTATTTTCTCTCTCCTTCATTTTTTTTTACTTTCGCCTAAATTTTTACCAACAATGTCCATGAAAATTCCTTTTAATGCAATACAAATCAACAGTCATTACGGTTATTTATGATTTATCCTTAATTTTTTGTTTTATTTCTTGTTAGAAAGTTGAATTTAAACTTTTTCACAAGATTTAAAACTCAAAATTTTCCTAGGTTATCATCGATGCAAATGATTTAAGACTTGATTAAGGTATGATATTCTTACTTAAATTTTCACTCTTTTATCTTATTGCCCTTTACCATTTCTAGGAATAATTATAAATTTATAAATTTATTTAAGGGGTTGTTGATTTGTTGTCATTAATATTTAATTGTACTTTAATTAACGAATCTGAAACCTCTAATTGTACATTAATTAAGGTAATCTGCTGAGTTGAATAGCTAATGAATTTTCAAAACCCTCTTCACCAAACACTTAAACTAGGTCACAAATTAATTTGTAACTCCAAGGTCAAAGTAATTATCTTTCAATCTTTCGTACTTGTTTGTTTAGTTGTTTGGCTGTAAGCCTGTTACTTAGCACTAAGAAATTAAAAAAATGTAAAGAAGCAATCATATGAAAATGAAATCATGATTATACTATAATTGATGGGTACTTTCCCGTTGACTAGTAGTTTAAATAAAGAAGATATTACTCCCTGAATTTCATTTTACTCATCACATTTGTCCAATTTTTGTGAGAGCTTTTGGTTTAAACGGGGCAAGTAAAATGAGCCGAGGGGCATATAATGTGGTGTTGGGGTGATTTAAGTAGAGCTATCTCGATCCTTTATTAGCTTCGAAGCATGAGTAATACTCCCTCTGTCCCTTTTGCATCATATGACTCGTAAAGCTCTCACATTAAATGGGCACATGGTGCAAACAAAAGGGGTCAGAGGGAGTATCAATTAATGTCACAGTGATTAGGTTAATTGACAATAGACTTGAATATGACTTGATTGTTTTCAGCTTACGCGAGTAGCCCAAAACAAATAACTCATCACTCGAATGTAATATAAACCAAAATCAATCCAATTGACTAATTGTCATGTGACTCATGTCTAATGATCTAATTTTGTGATAATAATTAGGGAGGGAGCTGGCATGTACAATGAATCTTTGATCTAGCTGGGAAGAAATATCAACATATGATCAATGAATCAATGATAAACTAAACCTTGAGGGATAACTACTTCCTAATTTTTTCGATTTTTTAATTTAGGCTTTATGTTAAGCTGTTAGTTTATGCTTTTGAGCTACATTTCGTTCTCGGAATAAAACTTGATATCTTGAATAGAAATTGTATAAGAAATGACAATGAAGTAGGCTTAAGGCAATTTGAGATTAAGATTTGGCATTATTATAGTAGTTGCTGAAATAGGAATTAAATCATATGAGTTAGATTTATTTCTAAGAGAATAAGAAAGTTTCCTTATTTTAGAAAAAAATCCAAATACTTGAACACGACCTTAAGTTATTTTGCCATATAACAGCAGTAATCAATGACCAGTCTAGTGTATTTTGCTATTATACTTCATTTAGCTATTAGGGACTATTCTAGAGTATTTATCAGTTTAGGGACGTTAGGGTTGATTGATTTTTTAAACGGAAATTGGATGTATACAGATATACTTAACAAAAAATGAAACGAAAGGAGTATTAGTGTTTATTTAACATAAGGAACCCCCTTAAGTCAAACTCCGGCCATTGAGCCATTTAAATAATTCTTAATAATATATTTCAATGATAGAGACTATTTTTTTTTATAATTGTTGTTGTTACGATGCACGAAAACAATAACAAAACAACAAACATTTCTAAATACATCAAATCAAATAAAAGAGAAAAAAAAGAAAAATGCATTAAACAACAATACTTGCTCTGTTTTCTGATTACTTCCTCTGGTTTTTTCTTCCACCAAAGTCACCTTCAATCAATCTTCCTTTCAAATAATGCAAACTCATCTCCCTCCCAAACAAATTTTTAGATTCTGAGTTGATAAAACATGCTAAAAAAACTAAGCTTTTGAAAGGCTTCATCAATGGCGGCAAACCCAGAAGAATTTTCAATTCCAATCCCACCTCTAAAACTTGAGAAATCTCCCAAAAAGGGTTTGCAAAACAATGAATTTGAAGAAAAACCCACAAATTATTCCTCTCAATCTACAGAAAATTCCACATTTTGCTCAAGCCCAAATAAACCCCTCATTAGAAGAAGAAATACTTTCAAGAAAGAATCCAGATTTGGGGGGCCCTCAGTTCCTCTTGACACACAGACCTTGCATAATTTAGCTGCAACACCTCGATTTTCAAACCACTCTCCCTTTTCAGGGAGCACACCTCGGGTGGGCACACCTAGGGCGGCAGAAGCTTCTGGAAGGTCAAAGGGAAAGGAGAAGGAGAAGGAGAAGGAAGGACCAGATGAAAAAGAAATATATGAGAGGGTAACTGCTCAGCTAAGTGTTAGAAATACTTGGCGAATGACGATAAAATTGTTACTTGAGTTGATTGTTTTCTTGTTGATATTGGCTTGTTTGATTTGTAGCTTAAAAGTTGAGCGTTTTAAGGGTAAATTTTTTTGGGGATTAGATGTTTGGAAATGGTTTACACTATTAATGGCTATATTTTCTGGTGTGTTGATAACTAGATGGGTTGTGCATTGCATTGTGTTTTTGATTGAATGGAAGTTTTTATTGAAGAAGAATGTGGTGTACTTTACTCATGGGTTGCAGACTAATGTTGTGGTGTTTATTTGGATTGGTTTGGTTCTTATCACTTGGGTTGTGTTGTTTAAGCATGATTCCGACTCCGCCCCGAAAATGACTGCAAAAACAAAGAGAAAACTCGATTTTATTACTTGGACTATAGCTTCGTTGCTAATTGGGTCATTTTTGTGGTTGGTTAAGACTACATTGATAAAGATATTAGCATCTTCTTTTCATTTGAATAGGTTTTTTAATAGGATTCAGGAAGCTGTGTTTCATCATTATGTGCTCCAAACTCTCTCGGGGAAACCCGTGGTTGAGTTGGCCCGTAAACTTAGTAGGGAGGACAGTCACGAATCTCGGGTAAGTTTTATGGAGCACATAGGTAGTCACAAGGAGAATAAGGTGGTTGATTGGGAAAAGCTTCACCAAATGAAGAAGGAGAAAGTGCCTTCTTGGACTATGCAGTTGTTGGTTGATGTGGTATCTAATTCAGGTTTATCGACTATGTCTGGTATTCTCAACCAAAACGTAGTTGAAGGAGGGGTTAGATTGGATGATGATGAAATTACTTGTGAGGAGGAGGCTATAACAACTGCTGTTAGGATATTCTACAACGTGATTGGTAATGAAAAGAATGGACTCCATTTACTTAGTGATATGCAGGATATCAATCAACTGTAAGATGATTTGTGTTATGCGTCTTTTCTTGTGAATTAATTTAATAATCACGATTTTCGTGTGATTTTCTCGTGATTTTCTCTAATCAACATGTTTACCTCTGTCTTCTCAGTTACATTGATGGAGCTGACCTCCATAGGTTCATGATTTGGGAAGAGGTGGAACTTATTTTTCCATTATTCGAAGTCAACGAAAACAAACAGATTGATTGGAAATCTTTTTCTAAGTGGGTGGTAAGGATTATAACTTATTTATTAATCATGCATTCATATGGCCTAATTGAAGTGCTTATCCTGTGTTGGTTTATTCAATATGCATGTTACTGCATATGTGCGTAATTGCGTACCATACTGCTGATGTAATTCATATTTATTGAATGTAACCTGCTTGAGAAGATTACATTTATTACTTTTAAAGGCTTGATAATATAAAGGTTGTTGATTTAGTGAACAATTTTGGTTCCTAGTTCTATTACTTGTGTTGTGACACACCGAGTATGTGTCTAATTGTCAGACCCGGCTATTTTATGAAATATTCCATGTTTCTGGTACAAAATAAACTTGTTTGAAAGAAGCTTTTGTCTGCTTAATTGGCCAGAGATACAGGATATAAGCCTCTTATTAGGACGAACTGAAAATGCCTTGTATTTGCGTTTTTTTTTTTTTTTTTTTTTAAAATGTTCAATTAGATTTCATGAATTAAATGCTTGCTGAATATTGATCCTTATCTGGGAAGCTCGCTTTAATTCCATTATCTTTATCTTTTTTCGTTTGCAGGTACAAGTCTTCAAAGATCGGCAGGCACTCAAACATGCTTTAAATGACAATAAAACTGCTGTGGATGACCTCAATAAATTACTGAGTGGAATCCTGATTATTATAATCCTAGTGCTTTGGCTTCTTATGACAGAAGTTCTTACATCTAAAATGCTTCTATTCTTATCTTCTCAACTTCTGGTGGCAGTTTTTGTTTTTGGAAACAGCTGTAAGACTGTTTTTGAAGCAATTATATTTGTTTTTGTTATGCATCCATTTGATGTTGGTGATCGCTGTGTTGTTGATGGAAAACTGGTAATATATCCTGCTGTGATGCTTCCTGTGAAATTTTGAGTTAGTTTTTTTTGGGTCTTTACAACACAGTTTCTTGATGTTGTAACAGATGATTGTGGAAGAGATGAATATCTTAACAACAGTATTCTTGAAATTGGACAAGGAAAAGGTATACTATCCAAATGCGGTGTTAGCTACTAAACCCATTGGAAACTATTACAGAAGTCCAGATCAGGCAGATACTATGGAGTTTGGAATAGATTATAAAACACCGCTGCCAAAGATTGCGGAGCTAAAAGATCGAATAAAGAAGTAAGTTAGCATATGTCAATACCTCAGCATTATCATTTGTTTTGATGGTTCAGGTGTTAGATTTGTCTTAGTTTATTTAGCCAAAGTGTCGGTTGGTGGGGGTGGTGTTGGTGTTGTGACTGTTGTCATAGGATCCCTAGATATCTCTTGTTACCTACTTCGTGCTAATCTACTAGTATTACATATCTCCTAACTGTTTTCAAAAGATCAATAGATGGTAGAAAGTTTAGTCAAGAGAAATGAGTAATAAAAACCTAGATATGGAACTTTGTGAGAGCAAATGAATATTTCTATCAATAGATTCATATTATTAGGACGTTAAATGTACTAAGAAAAGGGAAATTCTCTATTTCTCATATTGAGACTCAAAGGGCATTTTCGTGAATAAATCAACAACTTTTTCATTGTTGTGGGCTCCACAATTGAATAAAGTTGTTGGTTTATTTACGAAAATGTCATGTGAGAAACAAATTTTGTTTCTCACTATGAGAAACCGGGGCATTCCCGAAAAAGAAAACCCAAAGATTGGTGTGCTCTATACTGCGTATATTGCTAAGGCAACATCGGATGTTGATCTTGAAATATTGTAATGGATACACAAGACTAGGAATAGTAAAAGAAAGTAATGTGCGAAGATTTGGTTTACTACACTCTTTAGCTCTGGGGTTGCATTAGGCTTCTCCTTTAGATTCTTTTGAGGGTGGGGAGTATAATAACTGGAATCTGATTGAGTGAATTTCGTTGGTGTTGGAAAGGAACAAGTATATTCAAAAAAGTTAGAGAGGAAAGGTGATACTTCATAATAGATTGTTGGTCAGCTGATTGAAGCATGCTGCTTTGCAATAAAGCGTATGCTAATTCATGTTGGTGTTAGATGAGATTATATTTATCATATGAGTTAGAAATCTTTCTTAATACGGGGTATAATTGAGCACATGTGGTATTATAACTTGTTCTGTCATCTTTCTTTGCTCTTGACCTCTGGTGTAGAGAGGCTATTACTGTTTTTTCTGCTAGACCTGGACTTTTTGCTTCATTGTATTGATTACTGTTATTGATAACTGCTGAAACCGGAACAAGTAAGACCAGTTAAAGAACCGTAGGTAAAAGGAAAATAGCTAGGAGTTTTGTATGCTTATTATGTTGGCTTATACTGAGATTATACATGAGACTTTTTTGGCCTAGTCTTTTACAGTTTACTTATCTACTTAATATATTTTTCTTTCCTACTGAAATTTCTTTGGAAAATATCTACTAGTATAATAGTTCATTGTCAATGCATGATTTCAATAAAAGCCCTTTGTTATATTAGTACGTATCTCACCATCTCTCCCGCTACTTATTCCAGATGGGGTTGTCATGAAAATTCAATATTCATGATTATTATTTCCTGACATTGGAAGTTTGACACTGTCAATAAATTCCCTAAAATTTTTGTTCTCTTGCAGATATGTGGATCAAGCTTCCCACTTGTGGCACCCAGAGCACATATTGGTTGTTAAAGAGATTGAGAACGTAAACAAGATAAAAATGGTTCTCGTTTTCAATCATACTATGAACTATCAGGACATTGTTGAGAGGAACAGGCGGAGATCTGAATTTGTCTTGCAAATGAAGAGCATATTTGATGACCTCGAAATTTCTTACCATCTACTTCCTCAGGAAATTCATCTTACCAAAATGGCTCAAAATTATCTTGGTTGATTGCTGAAGAGTTCATTCGCCTATCTGCATCTGCAAGTAAGTCACCTGACTCACCTCTTTGTCCAGGTTACTCAGATTTTTTGGGGATAAAATTCATTTTGTTTGCTACTCGTTGGGCATCAAAATAAAATTGTCATATTTTCTTATTTTTGGGCTTGTGACACTACAAATACACATGTTTGTTACGACTTGTTTGGTAGGTTGTAATATTAGAGTTTATATGTACTTTTGTGAGGAAATCTCATGATATTATGCTTCATAAGTTTGTATTACCACTTATTACCATCTATAGAAGATTATAATGAGTGGTAATGAAAATTTATTTACAAAAGTTTTACTTGGGCTATAGCCACATTACCATGAGTCTTTCTTGCAAGAACATGTACAACTTCATTATCATTACGAATTTACAACCGTATATTATTGTCTGCCAAACAGGCTACTAGCAATTTATATGTATATATAAAGTTGTAATATTACTGGCTTTAAGCCAGAATTAAGCTCCATGGAGCCTGATGAATGATAATTTTTTGCCGGAGAAGCTCCGTTGTACGTTTGAGAAAGCTGATTGCCTTATGAGTACATTGTTTATAGCTTGTTATGGCTATAGTATTATTGCAGATGTCTAATTTTTGAAACAAATCATGAACTGTAAAGTTTATGGTTTTGGTTTTCAAAAGGAGCATGAAAATTCTTTTTATTGGCTTGAATATTTGTTATTCTTTGCTGCAGGACAACATTAATTAATTAAGCGAGCCAATATGACTATATTATACAACTATAAACCGTGCACAAAGTAATTGATAGTTTGATTCTCAAGCTCGGAGAGAAGGGGGTGATTTTAGAAAAATCTCCCCTTGGTAAGGTTCGATCTTTGGTTTCACGTCTGTTTGTCGGAGAGCTAGTCAAATACGCTGCGTCCATAATGGATGATGCCTAAAACATTTTGTTTAACCAAATGTACTGTGTAGACTTGCAGATACATTTTAAGTGGCCTTCTTTAGAGTGAATAAGCTTGAGAAAGTAATGAATGAGCTGGGTCAAGGGCCCAAAATAAGGGTTCAAGTCTCTGTATTTCTAAGAGTATAGCCAATGGTTGTCCATTTTGGGTGGATATGAAGAGAGAGAAAAATAAAAAAAAGCTTAAAAAATGAAAAAGTTGTACTTTTGGTGAGGAATGGTTCATGACCAGGTCATGGCCATGACCATTTGTTAAGTGTGGGCATTTAGTGGTATTTCGCCATTTGTCCAACAAAGAGAGGAGGTTTAGTTTTTTTTTTTTTTTTTCAATTGATGAAGACTCACATGGGAATGGAAGGAAAGGAGAATCAATGCCCACAAATTTGGAGGGCAACCAATGTGAGTGTATGGGCATGGGAGTTGGGCATAAATGAGGTGGAAGAGAGAGAAAGTAATAAAAAAATATGATGACCACCATTAACTTAGGCATCCATTGGCTATGCTTTAAGCTCAAGCCTTGCACAATACACATTGTAATATTACTAAAGCCTCAAAGAGAACAAAGAAAGTGAAAATTAAGAGAGATCGTTAATTAATTTAACCTTGTGAGTATTTTCAATTTGTGTAATCCTTAATTAATCAGAAATTCTTATCAAAATGGTAAAAATAATAAAGGCATTTTTGAGATTAACTAAGCTTAACTATTGAGATAGAATTTTGGAGGAATACCTCATTTTTCATTTATAAAATAAAGCTAAAGACAAGGTTTACTTTTTTTTTTCTTTTTCATTTCAGCTACTAATATAGTTTCTACAACAGCAACAGATTAAAAACATTCTTCTCCTATAAGAAACCCTAGTTATATATATTAATTTTATTTAGGTCTCTTAAGCTACTACTATTAATTTATATTCAACAACATGCCCTTCATTTCAGTTGATGCTGGATTTACTGCTCCAATTCCCCTTATAGACGATTCATTATCAGCCCATGACCATGCAGAAACCTTGCACTTTCTTCAGTATAGACATGAGTTTCTTGCTTCAACCTGCCCAATTTAAGGGAAGATGAACACACAATTAAAATTATTATACAATTAATTATCGCGGTGACCTTGACCATATTATTATAAGAGAAGGAACGGTAGATTTAAACCATAACATATTTATTTAGGAATTATGATCATCTCTTGAGATTGTCCAAACTGTCTCCGTTGTAAACTTTTAGTGATCGAACCAAATTCATATGAGCATGAGACTTCAATTTGAAATGACACGACCTAGCTTTACATGATCCGAACCTGGCCTACTCACCCGACTTAACATCTCTACATATTTTAGACTAGGCACCCTTCCCTCTTGTGATTTTCTTGCAATAAATATTTAGAATGGTCTAAAAGGAATTGATTGGGCCTCTAGAACTCGGGAGATGAAAATGCAGCCCAGTTATTTACAAGAATCCATTTAATGCAAGCACATGTTTTGAATAAACTTGGTTGTAAAACTCAAATGTGGCCTATTCAATTTTTAATACTACCTCTGTTTCATATTATTTGGAACGATTTGACATAGAGTAGAGAGGAAAAATGTCTAATCGTTGCAAATAATATGAAACGGAGGTAGTAACACCTTTAAAAATTGAAGATAATATATACTTCGTACTATCAAAGCCAAGCCATGGGTAAAAATAGAAGGATTTGCTTACGATTGAGATATGGTTTTGTTAAGGGAGGTTGAGGAAAGCATGGCAGCTCCATTGAGGTAGAGCAACTCTCCATCAATTCGGTCTTGGATCTTCACATCAAGATCCTTGGCATCGAGAAGAATTGGATGGTCCGAAGCCTAATTAGATATAATAATTAGTTGATATGTGCATTCATATAAAAAAAAATATCCACAAAAAATTATACGAATAATAGTTATGTAGTCCATACCATAACCCATCCCCAGGTATCAGCATACGATGGCACGTGAGCAGTGAATGGTACAACATCTACACAACAAAAACAAAGAGAGGTTAAAATTTAGTCAAAATAAAACGACTAATAAAACACGGAGGAAGTATGTAAGTTTGATATACTTAGCCCTAGTCGGCTTTATGTATGGATAGATCAACTTACATTTGAAGACTTGTTTGATGGTATTGTAAATGGAAGAGAAGACCTCCTTGTGGGTGTAAATACCAGCAGGCCCAGCCTATATTAAAAATTTTAGATGGATTAATTAGTGTGAAATTTTGAAAATGAAATTATTAATCAAGCATTTAATTTTTCATGTAACATTAAATTCTATGATAATATAATTAATATGAGTGAAAATATAGAGTAATAATGTAACCTGAGTGATAAAGATGCCATTTTCAGTAAGTCTAGGTTTGAGAATATTCTCATAGAAAGATTTGGTGTAGAGTTGGTAACAAGGTCCTCCCTCAACTGGATCAGCCAAATCTCCTACAATTATATCAAATTTCTCCTTCCTTCCTTCCAATTCAGCCCTACAAATAATAACAACAATGTACATTCAGTTTCGAGTAAAGTTAATTAAGTACGCGCATTTGGTTGGATATAGGAAGTTACACTTATACGGTTAGGTAATTTTTTTTCTTTTTCTTATGGATAGTGTCAAAACTTACTTTGCATCATTGATCATAAGCTCAAGCTTGCTATTGTTGAAGGCTTCTTGGTTGATAGTCAAGTGTTTATGGCAGAAATCCACCACTTCCTGCATGAATTAAGAAATTTAGCACGTTATGTTGGATTGTTTGTGAATTGAATCCACTAGTCAATTCTTGTAAGTTGAACATCCTTTCTTGTCACGTTAAATGTCGATCTCAAACTCATTTTATAATTTCTATAATCAAGATATAACGGAAATTTAGTCATCACCCCGGACAGTGATAAAGGGTGTGGTTGATATGGATTATGTACATACAGCTTATTATATGTGATCAAAATTGAATTTATAATTAATGCATTATACTACCTCCATTAATTATTATGTGCAACAAAGGGCATTTTTTGTGAGACATAAAATATTCCTTTGTTGCACATAATAATTAACGGAGGTAGTATTTTTCCTCAAATAAAGATCACAAGATGTATACATTTTTTTTTGGTAATATTTTTGTTCAATAAAAAAGTTCTTAAGTCCGTCATTAATATAATCAAGACGATATATCTTACCTTATCAATGTCACACATGACCACTTTCTCAATGGACTTGTGCTTAAAGGCTTCTCTAGCAGCAGAACCTTCACCACCACCCATTATGAACATAGTTTTGGGGCTGTTATCATCATTAATCCACAAAACTTTGTTATTAATTAATTAAACATGCATAATCATACTCACTAATAAATCAAAACCAATGATATCATGACACGTGTTATCGAAATATTGTAATTATATTGAACGCCCACATAATCAGTATATTACTCAAATACATTATTCATGTAAATAATTGCGCGCATGCAAGTTATAGCTTATGAGCTTATTCATATATGCGAATGAGACAGGCGACAAAATGCCACATTATTATTACTGTGTCTAAAGTTTTATGTTATCATCAAGTATAGTTGATTTCTACCAACCACAACTATGACCAACTATTTAGTACTTTGATTTTATTTTTATGGGTTAGTTTTAGGTAATTAATGAAATTAATATACTATGTATAATTGTTAATAACCTTGATTAAATATATAATACTTTTATTTTCCACCGTCTACCTTAGTTGTAAAAATTATCTTCTCTACATTTGTCCAAATTAAAAGTAGTTTTCTTTAAAAATAATAAAATAAAAGTAGTTGTCACATTTAACATTTTTCTTTATTCATAAAAAAGTTGTCACCTTTCTTGATATAGGGAATCTGTCTATCTGAATATCTGATGACTCATAATTATCGTATATGTGTGTCATATTGACTATGCTATTGCATGAATTATTGATGCTATGGTGATCCTAAATTTCAAAGAGATTACATTATTAAATGATTTTAAGTAAATTTTACCATAAAAGTAACAAAATTTATATTTTAAATTACTATTTGAAAATTTCTTTATATTTGTAACTACTTAATAAAGTGTAAATACAATTTAATTGAGTATAATTAGGAGTTGAACTCACTTTGCATGACAAAGGAGGGCAGGGTGAATCAAGCATTCATGGTAAATAAATTCATCAGCCTCAGCGCTTTGCATCTTTCCATCAAGCACCAACACCTATACATATATTCACATACCCAAAAAAAATCAAAATCACATAATAGTAGCATTAAACAAAATGTTTAATAAATTAGAATGTATGCTAACGAAAAAAAATAAAATTCATGCATGGTCCGTAACCAATTCTATTATGCCGAGATAATTTATCTTTTATTAAAATTATAAAAATTACCTATCCAAACGAAGCGTAAATTATTAAATTTTATAATTCAACTGACGTATTTAATTTGATTAGAGATGTACAAACCTTTCCAAACTTCTTAGTGTCGAGTAGCACAATGTCCTGGTATTCGCTAGTCGCTTTTTGCAGCACGCTGAGAGACAAGAATAACAAATCAATTGTAGAAAATCATTTACAAAAATCAAGAACCAAGAATCATTATTTTTGTCAATGAAATTTTAATTTCGTGCGACAATTCTGTTTTACAATATACATTTTAAATTAAAATATTATTCCTCTAAATATTTTTAAGTAAATGATTATTTTCCAATTAAAAAAAAAATCATTTTTTTTAATCCCAATGCAAACATTTTACGTAGTAGTTCATAGCTCCATACCATTCTCTCAACAACTTAGGAATTGACATGCAACTATTTTTTGAAACATGCATGCATGATAGCAAAAGATTAGATTTAATTTGATGAGTTGTCACAATTCTCAAACAAATTTATCTACCATGCATGTTACATTGCTACATGCTACCTATGCATTACTTGTGAACCAGGATTCGTTCACAAGTGTATATGATGACTAGGCAGCATGGTGTTTACACTACTGATGATCTTATAATTAAATTTTTTTGTCAAATAAAAAAAAAAGCACACATATTAAATGATGGGAAAATGTAGTTAGATTGTTGTAAATAATTAAGAAGAAGAGATTAGAACATACCTATTCAAAGCAAAGGACCATTTGAGGTCATCATCAATTTCTTCCTCATACCAAAACTCATTTTTTTCTTGATTGAGACAATTGTTAGGATTATCAAAAACCCCTGTTAGAGCACTTGAATTGATGATCGAAATAGCCTCAGTGCCCATTTTTCTAAGTAGCTAGGAGTGAGAAAGAAAAAACAATTAGAGAGAGAAAGAAATGGATAATTTTAGTTGTTTTAAGTTGTGTGAAAATGAGAAGACCACAAAGTGGGTATTTATAGATGAAAAAAAGCACCCAATAATATTTTTTTAAAATTGGAAAAAATAATTATAATAAAGATGGATTAGAAGGATTAATGGTTCTTAAGGATTCCATTGGATAGAAATATGATGCCACTCATTACCAAACTATTTAACTTTAACCCTTTTTTCAGGATATAGAAGAAAAAGATCGAAATGTGATGGGTCGCATTCAAAATGCCTCAAAACTCATGTGTTTAGTCCTCTAAACGACCTCTAATATCGGTTTTTCATTTTATGTGTTGAGGTGGTGTTTTCTCAACGTGATCGAATCATCATACAGTTATGTTCCGATTTTAATAAGGTCTGATAATACTTTCTTCGTTTTAATTAATTGTAACAACTGGATTTTTAATACTATCATATTACAATTTGTGGTGATTTTTATCAACTCATATAAGGAAAATTAATTAAGAATGGAGAAAGTATAATTTAGTCTTAATCTTTTTTGCCATTGTGTGTACTTGGTCTTACTCTTATCTAGTGTAGTGATATGATTAAACTTTGTTTGTAATTTTACATTATTGTAAAAGAAAGAATTTTACAAATTAAAGTATCAAATTAGATTACATTTGTTAATTTGAAGAGAAAAAGGTTTTAATAATGTATAAGAAAAACATAATTAAAGTAGATCATGTTAAAATTTGCCTCAATGTACGTGACTTTTGATCAAACAAGTAAAGTTTCATATCATATGTATGATTTTCGAGCTATATTTATTAATTATACTATCATTATACTTGTATGCAATATATATAGTTTATAATCTGGTCTAGCTTGATATTCTCACCTTACAAAAACAAGTTTCATAATGTTCAAATATTAGCTAGATAAGTTCTAGCTAGTCTTCAAAAGTTCAACGTATTTCATTACCATTTCCGCTTTTTTAATTATGGCTTTTCATTTATCCTCTACATCCTTGTTTATTTAAATCCCCGAGTTTGCAAGTTATCCTTTGTCATATATACCAGCGGCTTACTCCTTCTGTCCACTATTTTTGAAATGAAGCTCAAAAGGTCATGTGTTTAAGGCGCATTTTCCTGTTTATGCACGAATTTTAGTTAAAAATATTGTGTGTGTCTTACGCTAACTAATCAACAATGTTCAATCATTAAAAAAATTGACATTCTCTATTTTTGATATGTATTTAGAAACTCAAAACACCCACGTGATTCCACGATTGATTATCTTATAAATGTCACTTATTAATGATATAGTTCAGCGAAAGGGTATCTCATAAATGTTGATAAATATCTTGGTAAATTGGATTCGAAAAAAAACAAAATAACGACAATAGTGCCAATGGTTATAGACCTAGACACGAAAAAGATATAGTTCCCCTCAAATATCGGGATTTGGTGCCCACATCAAAGGTGAATGTAAAGGAGAAATTTAAGCTTCACAATCATTCGAATATATCGTGGAGAGAGAGAGAGACTTAAATCTCGGGATTAGATGCCACTTCGAAGGTGGCTTTTAAAGGAGGTGTTTCGGGTGAAAACAATGGGACCTTGTCGAAGGTCCGATGAAGTGGAGAAGACTAGATTCGATCCAAGTAATGTTGGGCCGAAGGTTTCCTGCACAGTAAACACACGTAAACTAGCCTCGGGGGTGTTGCCGAGGAAGGCCCCTCCGATGCTAAAGTCAGTACAGTGCGTAGAAAGAGAACACTATGCAAGAGAATTTGTTGCTTGAGGCTTTTCTTGAATGAATCTACAAATGTAATATTGATGGCTTTTATACCTCTGCATACATGGAGAAGTTGGGCCTTAGCCCCATTGGCTTGCCTTGAGGACTGATATTTGACTTTAGCACAATTGGAGAGATGAATCATGACCTTGGGCTTTTAATTGGATCATTTAATGCCTAAGCCCAATTGGACTAAATTGGACCCAAACAACTTGCCCCCCAGACCCGATTTGGAAGGATGACGGGTCGGGTTTGATTTAATCAGAAAAGGAGGGAAGTGAATGATTTAATTAATCCAAAAATTTGAATTTAAACCGTAATTAATGAGATAACAACAGTTAAGGCGGATAATTGTGGAAGTTGGACGGATAATGGGCAGTTTAATCGCAAGGTCGTGTGTTTAACGGTTATATTTAAGAGAAATTGAAACGCGGACTCCCCGTATTCCCATTTCTGGAGATATAATCAGAGGCGCGTCATCTCTCCTCACTTATTCACCAACACAAACCCAGAATCCTCGAGAGAACCCAAGAACCCGCATCAAAACTTCGCAAATTCCCCGAGCATTAAGCTTAGAAACTGAGACTTGCCACTACCAATTCGTAAATCGGCAACTTTCGCTTCAGATTAAGGTAAATTCCTTTTATTTTAGTTTATTTTTCTTCGAATTTGAACTCCTTCCCTTTTTTTTCGACTTTTTTCTTCGAAATTATCAATGGCAAGAGGAGTTAGGGGTAGAGCCCGTGCTCCAAGAAGAGCAAGGCCAATTCCCGATCCCAGGAACAGGATTGGGACCTGGAATGGACGAAGAGCAGAGTCTGACCCTGCTGAAGGGATCAGGGCGACTCCAGTTTCCTCGGCTCCTCCTCAGAGAACGGAGGGGCCGAGCGCTTCTGGGCGGGACGATGAAGTTCCCGCTGTCCTTTGGGATATACTTCCCGGGTTTTCAGAGTGGGAGGATGCCGAAGTAGCTTCGGCCATGATAAAGAACCGCCCCTACTCATGGTGGGTGGAGAATGCCGAACAGTATCGGTTTGCCGAACAAATTGAGTTGCATTACGGCATCCTTGAAGCTGATGGGTATTGGTGTCGAATGCCCGTGGCATCCGATAGAATCCATCGTCCACCCCCGGGGTATGTGGGGGTGTACACAAGACAACTTCAGTATGGGCTGAGGTTCCCTTTGGACGTATTCGTCCGAGACTTGCTGATCCATTACAATATTTCCCTATGTCAGCTAACTCCTACTAGCATCCGAAGGGTGATGACATACTTATGGGTCTGCAAGTTCTTCAGGTATGTGCCGAACCTGCACTGCTTCAAAAAGCTTCATCGGCTAGTGCCAAATATTCAAAGTGGGCACGGAAGTCATGGTTCTGGGTGGTACCGGATTGAGTCTCGGCCCCAGTACCTAACCATGTGGCCGAACGACTCTTCAGACAAGGACTGGAGAGGTCAATGGATTTGGGTTAGGGCACCCACGGACCCGGGCCACCCTTGCGTCTTCAACGCTCCCCGGTACCTTGCTGAGCCTGATCCCGACATGGGAAGTTTAGGTCCCCCCGCAGATAACGGCCCAGATCCAAACCTTAATCAACAGAATATCTTCGGCAAGCTGCCGAACCGGGGGGGCAGCGGCCGAATGCAGCATATCCCGGAGACTTGGCTCCCCGATACGCATTATGTTTTCCAAGAGAACATGCTAGCAGCTGTCGGCCTCAGCCGAAAGTTTAAGGATGGTAAGCTTCTTCGGCTGGGGCCGAGGCTTTTTAATTATCTCTTTTTCTCCTCTCACTTCGCTTTTTTATGCTGTGCCAACCTAACTGAACTGACCTTTCCCCTTTTCTTTTTCAGAGCGGGACGAGACCAACGTCGGCATTAACTACGCTCGTCTTGGCGTCAACCGAGAACGATTTGTAACTGATCGGGCCCCCTCTATCACTGAACCGCGGCATAGAGAGGTTCATCTAGACTCTTCCCACTTCCAAATTGAGGTTGTTGCTCTGTATCAAAGGCAGAAGCCTTGGTGGAAGAAGAGAGATCCCTGGTTTCAGCTGCTGGACGAAGAAGCTGAAGCTGCCCGTACGGCCGAAGAGGTTGCACGGGTTATTGAAGCTTGTGAAGGAGGAGAAGGGTCCTCCAGGGCTGCTGAAGAAGAAGCTGCAGCTAGGGCAGCTGAAGAAGACGAGGCTTTGCTGAAGACCTCGGTGAGCTTTCAGACTTAATTTTGTCTGTTTCTATTTGTTGTTTTGTTTTTACTCACATTCTTCCTCCCCCCTTGTCTTTTACAGTCTGAAGAGAGTAATAGACACAGAGAAGGGAAAGCCCCTATTCGTCCCGAAGACCAGATACAAGAAGAGTCCTCAGACTCAGACATGGACGAGCAGCCGCTTCAGAAAAGGCGCCGAAGAATGGCCATCATCGGCCCCCATGACTTTCAGCGGAGGCCGATGACCATCGGCGTCGAAATAAAGGAACCCGAGGAAGGCAATGGATCGCCGAGGGTTCCCCGACCACCACCTCAATCACCTCCAAAGACCCCTCTGCCACCTCCCGAGATGGAGGTGGATCAGAAAACTCCCGAACCTAAGGGAGGGGTCCAAGAAGAAGTTCAAGAGAGTGCTGCTGAGCACAAGAATGAGGATGCCGTGATGCCCAATGCTGAGGGTTTCACGGCAGACATTGCAAGAGAGGTTGAGGCTTTCGTCCTCACCCCTGAAGAAGAAGAGGTCATAATAATTTACTCTTCTGAGAAGGAGGATGCTGAGCCATCCAAAGTTAAAGAAGCTCCGTCGTCATCCTTTCCTTCCTTCCAGACTCTGCAATCTGGAGAAATGGGTTTCTCGGCCCCCCGAATTCCAATCCCAGATCACATCTGGGACCTCATATGGGGTCAGAACCGAGAAGGTGCTGCAGCCTACTTCGGCGATTTTGCTGGCACGTCCGAAGTAGATAGGGCAAGAATCTGGTCGCTGAAGGCCACTGCTGGGATGGGCGAATCTAGCAGATCAGTTCCTGACCCAGCCAGGTCTAACCAACTGCTGATGATGCAGGTGATTTTCCTTGCCTTTATCTCCTCTAAAATTCAGCTCTATTTTTTATTTTAACTTGTGCTCCTGTTTTCAGTTCGTGCACAATCAGACTCTCACTGTAGAGCTGATAGATACCCTACAAGATAGGGTAGACGCCGCCGAGCACGACAAAAAGGTAGCCGAAGAGGAGTTAAAGCTTGCTAAGCTGAAGCAAGCAGCAGCTGAAGAGAAGCAGCAGAAG